TTTCCAATATATAATTCTTAAACGTGTCCATGACTTTCTGGATCAAAGTGCACATCAAAACTCTTCTCTAATTCCTGCTCCTTTTTTTTTACCAATTATATACATCATCCCGTAGATAAGTTTTTGGGCTTTAAGTAGATTTCGCGGTTGTTGTTCCTCTTTGATACTCATACGACATGATTTTGACATATGCATTGCACGTTTGATCTCCTAAAAGGCTTCCCAATGTTTTTTGATAGTTTCAAAATGAAATTTTAAGCATATGGCAAATCCACAACGAATGCACGTATGGCACCAATCCGCCCGATGCCATTGGAAGATGCTTTGCACCTCTTAGCCGGTGGTTTTCTGCGTGGTGGGATTGGAGGTTTCTTAAAAGGGGGTTCAAACAGTACAGCTACTGTTGGTGGTCAAAAAGATGTGCGAGCAGGCATTGCCATGGTTAGTAAGGTTTTTTAGATCTTAAGTTGTTGTTTTTCTCCTGGAATTCTTTGGTTTAGGGTTATGTTGAACTAATGCGCGAAATGGGAGCCACTTGGTTGGAACGGAATCTAGCTGTGGTTTGTCGTCATCTGCTAGAGTTAGCAGCTAAATGTGGAGGACTTGCATACACAAAGTGGGTTGTTGTCTTTTTTTATAACCTGATCGTTTGATTGCTTTATTCTTCCCATTTTAATCACGTTGATCAGTAATTTTGCATCGTTGATACCTTATTTTTGAAAAATGATGTTTCATTATTGGTAGATATGGCTAAACAGTAGGGCAGCAAATGTTCAAACGCAGTTTTTGCATTGCTAGTTACTTCAATGAATTGTATCCATGGGTATAAACCACGTGACAATTGCTGATGCCTTTTTGCACTACTGAAAATGGACGTGAGATTGTTTGAGAACTGTGAACCGTATTATCACTTCACCGTTGATAATTGAATAGTCCGGTTTGGCAACTGTTTTACAGAACTATAGGATTGTGATAACTCTGCACATAGATAGTTTATATTGGGAAGCAAGACGTCGTTGAATTATTTATGCAAATTTTATTACTTTTACTAACTCTGTTCCCCCTTTTAGTTCCCCAGCACAAGCAGCTGAAGCGATCTTCCTCCGTAGATGTGTGTCTTATATACTACGAGCGACTGTAGGGACAATGCTAAGCGAGCAAGCTCAGATCACCGCGTGCAAGTATTTGGGTCAACTTTTAGCTGATTATATTAACTCTTTTGGTGAGTTTTGAGATCACCTTTTGCTTAGTTCTAATGTCAT